AAAAATGATAGAGCGAGAGAGCGAGACAACGACAGCGAAGATGGAAGCTTTGAAGACGAACGCACACAGAACAAAGTGAAGCGCCACGAAACGCGACCTTCGACCTTCCAAGAGAACGCACCTTCGTTTCCAATGGAACAGAGAAAGGGCTATTTTCGGAATTTCAGTAAAAATAAGGGTTACGGACTTCCGTTTCGTAGGTTTTAAAAAAATTTTATTTTTAAAACAAACCAATCAAACAACGACACGTGGCGTTGTCAAAACAGTGTTAAATATGCGTTGTTGGAATATCGCGGTCCTTTCTTTTTACCCATACATATGTTGAAATGAAGTTGTGGTTGGAGTTAAACCTGGTATCGTAGCTCATGCTTAGGCTTACAGAATCTGATTCTATTTTCAATCCCTTCTTTTAATAATAAAGAGGACAATTGGTATTTTTGAATATGAAAGGAATGAAATTGAAAGCATGTTGTCAATTGTTACCTCATGAAGAGGAAAAGCGATAGTTGAAGAACAATCTCAATATTTGGACGCCGATTTTTCTGAAAGTCTAAGGCAGAGACCTAGGAGGTATTCAATTACAGTAAATAACTCTGTTTATGTCTCCGGTTTAAGACTTTTTTTGCCTTGCACCTAATAATACAAATAATTGTTATCATCGTAAGTAACATATATAATTAAAATACATGTGTACAATGAAGTAATGATAATACTTCACTAAATCATTCCTTACCATTGTCCTGCTATGTTGAAACAACCTTCCCCACATCAACCATTTCTTCAACTTCTTCATCCATAAGCTTGTGTCTGTAACTTCTCTTCTTCATGAAATATCTTCCATTCATCCACTCATGTATCTCATTCTTCTCTTCAAGTTCTTTCTCAGGATTCAGAGGTGATGGTGGTCTTGTCAGCCACTAGAACCCAAAGGAGAACATGTCAGTCCTGGAGTTACTCAATAAGAATCAACTTTAGTGCATCACATCAACATGAACATGAACAGAACATTCCAAAATAGCTATTACCTGAACTAGCACACTGTAAAGGTTCTTTCTGTACCTCATCATCAATCATTTCTTCATTCATAAAATCATTAAAAGTAACTAAAAAAATGCACAATTCATATTCCAAATAGATAAAGGAAAAGGTTAGTATTCCAGTGTCTTTTTTCTTTATACACAAATATTAATCATTAATGTTAGTCTTTGTTGAATCCTCCATTTTTACTACCAATTCTTAAAACAAAATTCAATGAGATATATCAAGCGTTAACAATAAATAACAACGATTTACTTAACACGTCCCTACACTACAATTGACCTTAACTTGAAAAACATAAACAGACTATTTAGAGCCAAAGTTGATGGAATAACTGAGAGATATGATCATTCTTAATCCTGTATTGTAATGAAAAGCATATTGTACTGTTTGGTCCTCTCCATTTATAAATCGAACGTCCACCCAGGTCGACCACCAAGACCGAGCGTCCTAGTTAACGCTGTCCGACTACACATGGACCGAGCGACCCTCCAAGGTCGACCATTCATGAACCGAACGTCCACCCAGGTCGGCCATCAAGACCGAGCATCCAGTGTGACCGGACAACAGAACCGAGTGGCTGTCCACCCAGGTTGACATCCCTGGCCGACCATCCTTCTGACCGGTCGTCCCGACCGACCATCACTTGGTCGACTACACGGTTAAACGCTAATGACTCATTAAAGCCCTTAAATGAAGATTAAGGTACGATTGGGCCGTTATCAGGCCCACGAAAGGTAAAAGCCCATTACAATCAGTATAAATAAAGGTTCCAGGTATGATTTCTGGACGGATTGCTTACGATGCAATATATACATGCATTACAGACCACTCGGTCATGTTACTGACTTAAGCGTTAGAGTGCCTTTGACAGGTACCCGACCGCTCGGCTTGGAGAACGGGGTGGAACGAACGCCACAACCATGACTTGAAGACGAGAGAGCCCGTCCGACCCCTCCCAGCGCGTCCAGACCTCAGCAAAGAGGTAACCGTCCGGTTTTCGCTAGATTCAAATGCCTCCTAGGGACGAAGTCGCTCGGTCTGCATCGGCTCGTGAAATTCAACAACGTCCGTCCGGTCTTTAGCAAACTCACGTATTTTAGCAGGGTCATCCAGATCCGGCCGAAACACATATATTAAACCCATTTTCCCTTTCAAGAACTGAACTCAAAGAAGTCGCAACTTTTCTTCATAAGTGTATGTATTAGTTAAAGAAATGCTCAATTGTTACCATAGTTTCAACCATCAACAATTAATAAAAGACAAGCAAATCCATAAAATGCAGTTAAGTAATGGTAAGTGGAACACACTTATCTTTATTTCATACACAAGTTACAAGAATAAAATAATTATAAAAAGTAAATTTTTAAGCTTTTAGAAATAAAGAAAAAATAGAAATAAATAATATTAAATAAATATAAAAAATTATTTGTATAAAAGAATATTAAATAAATATAAAAAATTTACGTCAAAGTATATTCTTGTAATACAGTTAGCTAACGGTAGGTTTCCATCATCCAATTCAGGACAAAAGAAAAAGTGCAAGAATTGGATTAGTTGGTGACTATCCATTAAAACATTTACTTGGCATTGGACTGAGAATTTACAACTTTAAAGAAATTGAATTGATTTTATTTTAAAGATTTAATTCTTTAAATGTTTTATATAAAAGTAATTTAGATTTATTAAGTTTTTTTTTTTCAATAACACCGACAAAAAAGTCACATAGAAATTAATAAAAAAATAAATATTATAAATATCAATAAATAAAAATGATAAACATTTACTAAAAAATTGTCTCACTGAAGATTAATTCAAAAAAATAAAATTAATTCGAAAATAGAAAATAAAAAAAATCACTCTTACCTTACAATTTTTCTGTGTAAAATTGTCTCACCGAATTTTAAATTTGTTTAGTGTAAAATTGAATTGATTTTATTTTAAAGGTTTAATTCTTTAAATGTTTTATAGAAAAATAATTTAGATTTATTAATTTTTTTGGAATAAAATATTCCGGCTACCACTAAACAATACCAATAACACCACACAAAAATCTTATAGAAATCGATAAAAAAATAATTATTAGAAAATCAATAAAAAAAGTATGACTACCATTTACTAAAAAATTGTCTCACCGAATATTAATCTAAAAAAAATAAAATTAACTAATGTCCATCTCAGAATAATCTTGAACTACATCAGTAGATAAATAATTTTAATAATATCAATAAAAAAAATTAAAAATCTCAACTTCAATCATAAAAAAGAAAGTTTATTATCATTGATAAAAAAAAGGCTTAATACCTTATTTTGTCCCCAGTTTTGTTCGAAAATGTCTAATTATTCCATCCTTTAAAAAATGTGTCAATTACGTCCTCACTTAATAAAATTTGCATCAATGAAATCCCTTCCGTTAAATCCGTACAAACGGCGTTAATTATTTTTCTCTTTTTTCTACTTCCTCAATTAACGCCGTTTGTACGGATTTAACGGAAGGGATTTCATTGATGCAAATTTTATTAAGTGAGGATGTAATTGACGCATTTTTTAAAGGATAGACTAATTTGACATTTTCGAGCGAAACTGGGGACAAAATAGGGTATTAAGCCTAAAAAAAACTAGTACTGACAATAATTAAGAAACAGTCTTATCAATATTGGTAAAAACAATTTGTTTAACATTAGTTGAAAATTAACCTTAATTTACGTTTTAGCCAATATTATCTATTATATATCATTTTGATTAATGTAAAAAAAAAAATTGAAGTTGAAAAAAAAAACCTTTGACTAACATGTTGATTAACATATCTTAACAATGTATATATATATATATATATATATATATATATATATATATATTAATAACAACTAAAACATTATAACCTAGTTTAACTTTAAAAAAATTGTTGGTATTAAATAAAAAATAATATCCAATTGAAGATTTCCTAATCAAAACTTGCCGAACCATAATTTGACCGTTGTCTCACTGAAGAAAACATATGAAAAAGGAGACAAATTTTACGAATGAGAAAAAACTTCAAACTCTAAAGTCTGTAAGTAAAATTTAGAATAATGTAATTTAAAATTTTCTATAGAAAAAAATTGACCTTTAAAAAAGTTTCATCCAAATTTATTATTAAGTGTTTCTTTTCAACCACGGAAAATATCTCATGTACCAAAAATATCTCATGCAAAACAAAAACAATAGTATCCTCTGCTAAGCCAATAAGACAAACAAACTCTTAATCAAATAATTAGCGTTGTTGATTAATCCAAACCATCAACAAAGAAAACTTCAAAATGTTCCATCACATCTCAGTGACAAGTCATGTCCCCATTGGAGACCATAGTACAAATTAAGCACTTAATATCTTATAAAAAAATTAAATTTAGATATATGCTTATTCTTTTTTTATACATTCTTTTATTGAATTTTAATACTAATTTTAATGATACTAATTTTAATATTTTAAGACGCTTATTTGTACAAATGCGAACATCCCCATTTTCACAATGGTTGAACTTTCTTCTGGTTGGACTTCCATGTTTAATTTTGCCAAAAAATAAAACTTTCTTTTATTACTTCTATTGTATTATTATATTTAATTATTCTTTTTGTATATATATTTTGTCTTATTTATCATGTATCGTTTTGTTTTTTTTCAGTATCCAGTTGTTAAAAATTAGACTACTCTTACTATTTGTCCAAGTTGGCTCGGAGTCCCAGGTTTTTGGAATTGGATTCTGTGTGATGGTAAAAAGCCCCAATTTGATTTTTTTTTTTCACTTGAGAATTCTCATTTTGTGTTTCTTTGAATTCCAAGCCTAAATAAAAGAAGAAAAAAAGAGCAGCCAAATAAAATTAAACAACAGTTAAATAGAGAAAGAAAACGCAGTCAACCCTTTAGATTATTCTCCTGAAAAAATAAAGTAAGCAGAAGATACTAATAAGAAAAACCTCATTTTACAACTTAGTTTTCTATAATTAAATCAATAGCTGCATCAATTTTTCCCCTTATGCATTAGTTGATGCACAAGATATTCTAATTTCACCCACATCACCAGATTTGACTCCAACAGTGGTGAGCTTCAAGAAGGACTGAGCCCAATTTTGAAAGAAAAGGTCTTGATCATTTGCAAAATCCTGCACTAATATCCTTGTGCTATCATTGCTTATGAGAACAGAATCTGATTGGAAGAGGCCCTTGTGAGCCAGAAGATTTTGGTAGTACATGTTGTCAAAGACCAAAGATGTTTGAGGATCATTGTTCACCTTTACAGATGGTTGTACACCAGATGGACATTGTTCCATCAGCACTTCAGCATAGTCACTGTCAAGGGTTTTGTCAGCCAGCATAAGCTTTCCCCTTGAATCTTCTTCAAAACGATCCCTGAATGAGCTGCAATGTGCTGTGCCTATGGTATGAGCTCCTGAAAAGCTTATATAACACTACATAAGTATGTAGCATGATTTCGAAGCAAACAGTGTCAAAGGTTAACACATTTTGTGGCTGACAATAAATTATGTTGTGCGGTTCTTATGTCAAGCACCTCTGTTTGAAAATACAGAAAGAGAAAAAGGCCAATAATGTTTTCCAAATTGGACTGAACTAGTTGAACCATGATTTCTCCCTAGGATCATTAATTTACACAGTTGAACAACTCAAAACATGACCTTTAACTGTTATATATGGTAAATTTGATGACAGTTGGGAAGATTCTCATCAAATGACACTGACTCAATAACAAGTTGGAGATAAATCTAATAATAAATTTTGTAATGATAAATTATAATTTATGATTCAGATATTCCGTTAAGAAGTCAATTTTAACTCTATCTCAGTCTTCCAAAGTCTTCCAAACTGATAAAGTGAGACTTTATTGTATGGGACATCCAACATACAAGAATGGACTATTTTTTGGAGTTTACTTGAAAACAAAAACACTGAATTAATTCAAATAATAATATCTCAATTAAGGTTACTAAAGGCTGAAAACCAAAGGGAAAACAATCGTTAAAAATAAACAAACCAACAACAAAAAAGAGGATATTGTAGTGACAACCATGAGATTTGAACTACATCACATTAACAGATTCTTCTGTGTAAACCTGTGAGGGGGTTACTGTAAAAGTTAAAAGGATAAAGGTATCAAGTCTGAAGAAACCTTAGGGAGTAATTTGCTACAATTAAAATCATTCCCTTGGAAAGTTACAACTAATTTTGGACATAGAAGATGCACCTGAAAGGACCACAAGATCAAGTAAGGATAATCCTTTAGTGGCAAAGAGTTGAACCATCTCATCCATTGAAAAACTGGTATCCACAATGTTGGGTCTGACATTTGAAGCAAGTGAAATCATCCCATCTCTCCTACCTGTAGGAATCATAATTCTAGGTCCACCAGCCTGTTCTCAAGTCCCCTTCGGTTAATAACAGTACCAAAAGAAATGTCATGTCAATATACCATTGAAAAAAAAATGGTATTTTGACATCAAATATTTTTCATTTGATACATAAATGTGAAAAAATGGTTATCAAAAGTTGCAAAATAACCTCTTTTTTTCCTTGAATATCATCCATGCAATGTGGTAGAACTTACTATTTCAACAGCATCTCTAGCAGCCATAGCTATTATGTCCGCACAAGAAACAGTTCCAGGGCAGAATTTCTCAATGACCCTTTTTGCTGAATCTATCACTGAAAATCCTCCAACAGATCTATTTCCTGGATCACTTTGTTCTGTATTGTTCCCTTGCAGCATCAAAGAGGCATCGCATCCCTGCGTATAAAGTGACCATTATCACATGAAGAAAACTCACTGTAGGCTAAAACTGTGAATGCATGCAACATCTGAGCTTAGAATCAAAAGAAAATCACTTGTCATGATGCAGTTTAACACTGACCTCCACAAAGCAATCATGGAAAACCAAGCGAAGGAGCTTTCCAGGAATAGAAGGATCAGTAGAAGAGAATGAATTAACTGTGTCTCTTATGATTAACTCAGCCGATGGGCATGAAGCTGCATAGAAGTTGAAAGAGAGGCTACCCTTAACAAAGCAAACGAAAGAAAACATAAAAAGATAAGAGATTGCTAGGAAAAGAGTTCTTGTTCTTGTCTCCATAGAACCAATTTTTAGTACTTCTGGGGCAATGCATTGAATGTGCATAGTGTTGGACTTGATAATGATACAATAGCAGAGGTAACATAACTAGGAAATTGTGCATATTTAAAACTACATTTATGTGGTTGGTTGAAGTCAGTGGGTAGATAGAGGATTTGGTTATGCATTTTCCTGTTTCTAACTACTGTATGGTTTCTCTCACCGAGCATTGTTTGGGTAGAATTAATGAAAATACTCAAGAACTGTTTTGGAAGAATTAGTAGAAGAATTGTTTTTTCCATTACCTGTCATAAACTTTGAAGGCCTTCTGTATGTGATTGAACACTGATGTTTTATCATATAAACTTCAATTTAAGTTTAATTAGTGTAAGTGCGTGTCTTTTTCTAAGTACATGATAATCTTCAATTTAATTCAAAAGATCATATAAACTTTAGGTTAACGTAGTAGTTACAGTGGAAGTTTTTCTTAAGATGTGTGTTACCTGCATGTAGCTAGTGTGGCGATGTCTTATCTTTTTTTAATAATTTATATATTGAAAGCACTATTTTTATAGGTTTAATGGTAAAACTGCTTAGGCATTGTTAGAAGTTAAAATATTTTTTGTTAATTTTTAAAAATTATATTCTGAAAAAATATGTAGTTATATTTAATAACTGGGGAAAGATACGACTTAAAAGAAAAAATTTATTACGAGGTATTGAACCTATAAGATACAACATGAATATTTTAAAATAATAAATATGACAATTGCTTTGTTTGCACCCATATATTAAAAAATTCTCCATATATAATAAGCACTACATTAAAAAATTCTTCAATTCTCTCTTATATGTATTTGGTGGGGGTAATGCACGTTCTTACTTAGCAAGGTTTAATAGTATAAATGATCTCTATTTTTTTATGATTTTTTAAAATAGGTCTTTATTTTTTTCCTTAAGTCTTTATTTTTAAAAACTAAAATAATTAAATTTTTATATTCAATTTCGTACTAACAGAAGATATCACTAGTCGTGATTTTTTTTAATAATGGATAAGAAAAAATGAAGAGAACATACTTTTCTTTCAACTTAATAAGTGAATTTTTGAAAACAAAATTTGATTAAGCAAATTGCTGAGAAAGGCTGCCTTCAATTACAATTTCTCCAATTTTTTAATTTAAAAATTAGAAATTACACATTAGAATAATCTAATTAATAATGACCTCTTAAAGGATATGTGTTCAATTTAATAGCAAACTTGTTTTAATTTTTCAAAAATAAAAATTCAATTAAAAAAATGAATAAATAAGATACCTATTTAAGATTCTAAAAAAAATTAAATATTAAACCTAGAATTAAATACAACATAAGAAAATCAAGAGCTATTTTGATAGATAAACACGTGGTTAAGGAACAAAGTTGTTAAAAATCTAAACATCAATATTCTGACCAATAGTCATAACTGCATTGCATTGTCAAAAACTAAATATAACAGCCTTTAAATTTTTAATCGCTTTAGGCCTCAACGTATTTTAAAAAGATATTCCTCTCAAATTAGTTAAGATAAAATAAGTAATCTTAGTTATTCTAACAATTAATATTTTATCTCATTCATGAATCGTTGAATCAATACCAATACTTGTTTTATCACCGAAGTTAGTTCGAATTTTTCATTTAAATTTTTAGCTTTCATGTTGAATTAATAGACACCACAATTTTTCTTAATCCCCACAATTTAGAAACTTGTACATTCAATTTACTTCTATCTAACAAAACAGAATTATTATAGTTATTATTATTGATTATGAAAAAAATCATCAATAATAGTATAATTATTATTATTTTTACCTGAGATATACGACTTTTCCTATCTCTAGTATATTTTTATTTGAAGTTTTACTTAATTTTAAAAGTACAGCTTTTATGTACATACATTCTAGAGAGGACTCCACCCACTCAGAATATTTTCTCACAACGTCATTGAATGTCTTTCTATGCATAACTGTATATGAGCTTTTAAATCCAAAACACAAGCATGGCTTCTAATCTTTGAATACCCAAGAGATGAAGAAAAGGGAAGCGCAGTACAGAACTAACGCAATCAATAGCAGCAAATCCCTTGACAGAACCACCTGATGCAGAAAATGCAGTAAACAGCAATTGTAAGAAAAATGGAGAGACCTTGAGAGCGTTTGTTGTTATAAGAAAAATGGCCAGTTAATAATATACATGCAACTAAACTACTCGTTAGTGGGAAAGAAAATCCACAATCTAGTGAGTGCCCCATCAAGAGTCAATATCGTACTAGGCATAAAATGCTAGTTGCAGATAATTACCAATTCAGTGTGCTAATTTCAAACGATGATTCACAAATTTGAAGTCCCGGTCTCAACTTTCAACGTTATCAACTTTTGGTAGTTCTACATCATCATCATCATCATCCACATCATCAATGGGAATCTCCTCATTATGATCACTAATGCCTAGAAATGTATATGAGATATTGTAAGTTGTTTAGCTCAAAACGAAATATTGTATGTCTCCAAGATATTCTCCAGATTTCGCTTCTATCAGTTTTTGTAAAAAAATGGACCCCATTCTTTATCTATGACCATTAAAAAGGCTAAACTTTACCTCTTTTAACTGAAAGAGAAGGATAAGGTGAGAAGTCCTTTGCATCAGGATTTCTATCAAGAAGATATGGAAGTTCCAGAAGCTGCAAAAAAGATTCTGTCTGAGGGTTCCGGGGATTCACTGAAAAGGAAAATAGAAGAAAATTAAATAAAGTTAACACTTGTATAGTTACATTTTAAATAATACAAGACATGACATGCTGAAATAATGACAGATATCACTGTTGCATAATAAATCGGTCTTTTTCTCTTTTAGTTTTCCTTTCTATAAGCTAAAACTATACTATTAGAAAGATCAGAAAAATTAATTAGTAGGAGTAAATAAACAAGGTCAAAAGAGAAGTGTTAACTCACAAGTAACTCTTAAATAATTGTGACTAATTCAGAATATAGAATGTAATTGACAATTTGACATTCAATTTAAAGGAATATTTTTAGTTTGACTTAGAGCCTATTTTACTTTATTACCGCACCACAAAATGAAAAAATCAAACTTTTTACTGACATAAGCACAAGAATGGGAAGACACAATAGTCGACAGTGCCTAATCATAACATGCATATAAGATGTTCATGCATGGGAACTCCCAAAGTATGCACGAATAACATTATACACCAACAAGTTAGCCCAATCACTTAAGTGATCAGGATTAGAATATCTTTATCCAGAAAATACGCTGAAAAAATTTTGATTGGTGGCTTACAAGGTGAGCTTAGTAATTGAAAACAAAAGAAATACCAGTCAATACACCACCAAAATTGGACCGTGAAGGATCATAGGAAGGAGCTGTTCTGACAAATTCAAATGGTTTGCACCCCTTCTCACGAAGCCTGCTTCTAACCCATTCAAGACAATCTTCCATCTCGAGATTTAAACCTCTGTCAGCAAGTGCATATGGCATTGTTATTATTATTATTTGAAGGGGGAGAGGGAAAAGCTAAACAATTGGAGAACTCAAATCCTAATTGTCAATAATGTTATGGTGATTTCACATGCACACGCACACCTGAAGTTTGCACCTTTGGTGGTCAAAGGGAAGATAGGGTTGAACTTCCGTGTTATCGCTAACCATTCTTCATCATACCGAATCTCATAAGGTCCTGCATCTGATTCAATTTCCACAATCTAAAGGCACAGAACATGCCATGATTGTAATGCCTAACTCAAATGGCTATCACAGAAGATTAACCCTGAAAATTATCATTGTATGCCTATATACCTGTAAGAAATCACGCCCGACAATACATTTGTCCAGTGCAAGGAATTTTGTCAGTGGACCTCCTTCCCCATGCTGAACCAGAGCAGCAAACTTGCAGTGTAAGTGAGCCGAAAACCAATAATTTGGTTTCAGTTTTTCTAGAAGTTCAGCAGCAGCTCTACTCCCTAATCTTTTTTCCTCTATCTGACAGATATAAGCCTTATTAGGTACAAAAACAAGATACTGCCTGGTTATAGAAATAATTAAACACTACACAAATTATCAAAGACTATAGTCCTATCTGGAACAGATTCTCAATAAATACGTTTAGGAGAAAAAAAAAGATGATAAAATGAAATATGAAAAAAGTTCAAAATTAGCTGGCGGATGGTGTATAAGCTAATTTAGAAGTGCTCTAATTTAACATCTATTTTGAACTTTTTGCATAAGCTAATTTTAACTTAAAAGCCATTTTTTTTTTCGTCCGACAGTTACTTGTTAAGAAGTTCCATCCGAACAGGACATAAAGCTCAATGATAATGCATATGATGGTTTCACATTCCCCTGAAATAAATTTATGTTTCTCATTTTTTTAATAAAACAGACACGAGACTATCATCCCAGCTCTTAGCTCATAGCTTTCTCAATGTTGCTGAATCCTTGACAAAAAGCAATACAAGCAAATCAAAAACCAGCATTCGCAACACGCAGAATAATAATTACTAAACTTGGCAGTTTCATTAAGTTCAAAAATTTCAACAAGCCCCACCTCTTGCCTAAAATAGTGCTTGCGCCGAACAAGCTCCTTCCAATCCCCATAATCAGTGATTCTAAGTGGCCAATCATGCGAAAGAAAAACATCAATGGGCTCCTTAAGTTCCATCAATTTGCGAACATCATACTCACGAACATGATACACAGACCTAATGGTACTCTGATCATAGGGAGGCCTCTCATAACGTCCTGCTCAAAAAAACACCTAACATCATTCAGTAATCGGCAAACAAACGCCCAATTCAGATTCAACACTTTAAAATCCACAATTCACAAACAGATAAACAACCTAATTTATAGTGTCGATCATTATAGATCCCAGAGAGACCACCAATTCGGACATTCCCAAACCTCACCACCCCAGCAGCTCCCAAGAAGTAGATATTAGGAGCAACCCATCCTCCATAGTACCTAAAACAAACACGTACCAAAAGCTTACCAAAACAGCAACAGTCAAGATTTTAGAAGAACAGTCCGTGACAGTAATTTTGGCACGAAAGTCAATGTTTTTAAGTCACAGTTGTCGTCCTAAACAAACAATTGTCGAAACCCTAAATCGCATTGCAACAGAACAGTTATTAGAATGTGAAGCTGAGGTGAACTAACAGTTCCCAGAGATAATTGGACGCTTCGTGATTGCCGCCGATGAAGATGGTGGGGTAAGGGGCAACCTCGGCGCCGGAATAGTACTTCCAGAAGGAATTCATGGAGCGATACTTGGGCGGGACGTTCAAGCTCTTCAAATCCTGTTCGTTCCTAACCGCTTGGAAATCGCCGCAGCAGAGGAGAAGGTCGATTTTCGTGTTCTGGGATTTCTCCAAGTGCTGTAGGGTCCTGTACACGTTGTCCAGGTCGCCATGCATGCACCCTTCCACCGCAATCTTCATCCTCTCTCGCTTCCCTTAACTGATCAGAAACCCTCACAAAACCCTAATTTCTCGTTTCCGTTATTTCTTAGCGGATAAATTTAAATGCTCTCCTCCTATTTTCCTTTATCCGTTCATTTTTTGAAAATTAAAGTACGACGGTAACACTACACGACTGTCATTCCAGAAGTACCAACAATATTAAATTAAGTAATAAAGAACATATTCCGTGTTTTTGTTTCCTTCTAAGAAAAAGAAATTCAACTGATATTGCTTGCTTAAGTAACTTTTTCTCGTAAAAACTTGCTACAAATGTTCCAATTTCATGTCAAACTTCTGATAAAGACTACTCACAGTGTATGTAATTATGTGAATAACTATGAGTATTTCTTTTATATTTAAAAGGTTTGTCCACGCGAGTAAAATAAATAAATGAGAAAGATACTACGAGACACTTTTACCTTCGTTTAACACATAATTCATTTAACAATTTTGTATTTTCTAAAAAAGAAAAAATAAGTAAAAATAATATTAAATAAATGTAAAAAAAATTTAAGTATGTGAAAAGAATATTTTTTATAAATAAATATAGCTAAGATGGAAAAAAAAATCATTGTAAATAATGGATATCCACATGTTTTTTATTTACTTTTATATCTTAACGGTTAAATGACGAAGAGGGTATGAGTCTACCGTGTTGTATTATGTGGTCAGGAACAACACACGAAACGTGCAAGTCTCTCTTTTTCTTCCTTCTTTTTATTTTTGCCACTTCTTCTTCTTCACTCTTCACTGCTGTTACCTAACATGGCGTTGGTGAATCCTTTTGTGTCTCCCACTCGAACTTTCCTCCCTTTGCGCGTTTCCGCGCCGCCAAACAAGGGACTGCGTTGGACTGTCTACTCCGCTTCCTTCAAACCATCGCTAAGATCCAAGCACGCCACGTGTGGCGCCACTGCGGACATAAAAGCTGCACCTTTAGCTGACAGCGAAGCAGATGGCGCAGTTCTTGTGGTTCCAACCACCGAGGAGGAGGTAAAAGGGGAGTATGACTGGACGGAGGAGTGGTACCCTTTGTATCTCACTAAGAATGTTCCCGAAGATGCACCCTTGGGACTCACAGTGTTTGATAAACAAGTCGTCTTGTTCAAGGATGGCAATGGCCAGTTACACTGTTACGAAGATCGCTGCCCCCACAGGTTACTCACTGCTTATTATGATTGTAATTGTCGGTTGAGTTTGGTTGTTTTCACTTGGAATTTGTGACTACTTTTACCTTAATCGGCATGTCCCCAGTTACTGAAAATTCTGTAGTTTCACTGATTGCTGATTTTTGTGTTTGTCAAATGATGGATCTTGTGTCTTCGTACAATTCAGGTTAGCCAAACTGTCAGAGGGACAGTTGATTGATGGAAGGCTTGAGTGTCTATACCATGGGTGGCAATTTGAAGGGGAGGGCAAATGTGTGAAGATACCTCAGGTTGGTAATGCACCTGCTGTTTTCCTCAGATAAATAAAAGTTACATTCCCAGCTTAAGGCCACATGATGTTGCCAAGTGACAAACTTTTTTTTCTGTTTTCAACAGCTTCCGGCTGATGCCAAAATCCCTAGGACAGCTTGTGTTAAAACGTATGAAGTGAGGGACTCTCAAGGTGTTATTTGGGTGTGGATGTCCCTCAAAACACCTCCAAATGATAGTAAACTACCTTGGTTTGAGAACTTTGCAAGGCCGGGATTCAGAGACATTTCAACAGTTCATGAACTCCCTTACGATCACTCTATTCTTCTGGAGAACCTGATGGATCCTGCTCATATCCCTATCTCACATGACAGAACGGATTGGACCGCAAAAAGGGAGAATGCTCGGCCGCTGAGCTTTGAGGTGACTGAACGAACTGATAGAGGGTTTGCAGGTTGGTGGGGTGCTGAGAAAGATGGGTCCAGGCCTAACTTCTTGAGGTTTGGGGCTCCGTGTGTTCTACAAAATAACAGGGAAATGGTTGATAAAAATGGTGTAACAAACTACTTCAGTGGCCTGTTCCTTTGTAGACCAACTGGGCAAGGGAAATCCATGCTTATAGTGAGGTTTGGATCGACAAGATCGTCATCTCCACTGGCAAAACTGTTTCCTGAGTGGTACTTCCATCAGAATGCATCCAAGGTTTTTGAGCAAGACATGGGATTCTTATCATCTCAGAATGAAATTCTCTTGAAAGAGAAGGTTCCAACAAAGCAACTTTATCTGAATCTGAAATCATCAGACACATGGGTTGCTGAATACAGGAAGTGGATGGACAAAGTGGGGCATGGGATGCCATATCATTTTGGTCACAGCACCATCTCTTTGCCCAAAGAACCTGCTGTGGTTGAACATGCACCCGCTGGACTCGTTGCAGGACAATCAGCTTCTTCACCTGCCAAAGGGGGCATTGGAACAATGCATGCTCCAAATTTAGCCAACAGATATTTTAGGCATGTCATACATTGCCAAGGATGTAGAACCGCAGTCAAAGCTTTCCAAGCTTGGAAAAATGCCCTTTCAGCTGTGGCAGTTACATTGGTCGGTTTGGCAATTCTAGTATCTGGGAAACAGTGGAAGGCCATTCTCTTGGCATCTGCTTCCCTGTGCTCTATTGGAGTATATGCTTGCTCAAGCGCCATTGCAATGAACACTACAAACTTTGTTAGGACACATAGGAGATTGTGAGTGAAAAGTTGGAAAAATAGTTGTTCCAATTAATACTTGTAGTTTCTATAATTACTAAATGAGTTACAGATTTGATTGGGTTTGGCACAACATTTGTATAGTTTTCAGTATTTTTTATTTTACGAAATTAGATTTGAGCTGAAGTAATATTATATTTTAAAGATTTTAATACAAAACTGTGCTTGTTACAAAAGTTTATATACTTTCAAAATCAATAGAAGTTGCATTTTTCACTGGCAGTACTGTGTTTTAGATTTAAATAAACTTGATTTTATTTTATTCTATCGTAACTAAACAAAGCAAACATTATTTCGCCAAGTCATTTTTTCATCAGATAAGATTTATTTACTATAAATAAAATAAGATACTTTAAAATTAAAAACTTTATTATTAATTAGTATAAACAATTTCAAAAAAAATATATTTCTAAAGATTAATTTATGCATGTAATAAGTTAACCTGTGAAAAACAGTTTTATTTTATTTTCTCATTTTCTTTTGTAAGAAGAAATTTATCTCTGTTGTTCAGAAAGGGAAAGGGAGAAAAAAGTTCCTCCTGTTAACAATTCAACGCAAAGATCTGATCATGCTTTGGCAGGGAAGCCTAGTTATATTACAGGTAGAGTCAATATGATTATTTTTCTCAAATTCATACCGATCATGACTTCATATAATGTGTTCTCAGGGAGTATAAGCGTTCATTTCATTTGGTAAAACAACAACATTTATACAAGTTAATAAACATACAAAGATGGTACAAATTGATTGCTTTTAGTGACAATTCAATCTTAAAAAATGAATAACCAGACAATTTTTTCAAAATAAAGCTAAAGAGACTGCTGCATCTGTCGGACTCAAGTAAGACGAGGTATAATATAACTACAATTCTCAGGACTCACAAGCCACGCTCCACCACCATTTGAGCAGTAGTTTTGGTACTAGGAAGTAGGAGGTTCTCCCAACCATTTTGCACGAAAGCCTGTTCCTTGACAATCAGAACAACACATTGATCCCTGAATAATAACAGATTAAGGGCAAAATTAAATACCAAGAAAACCGGTTGCTACGAGTTCACAGGTAAAGTGAGTTCATCAGGTTAAGTTAGCCATAGAGAGGTACCTTTCCGGTGCATATGATACAGGTAGTGTTTCTAGATGGAACTTCGCAAAGCATATTATCACCAAGGATAAAAAAACCAGTACCCGCACACCATTTACATTCGATATGCCCTTTTGAGTCGCAAGATGAACACACGATTGGCCTTGGTTGCTGTAAGCATCACAGATACATATATCAAAGACCAGCTCAGAAACATCAAACATCAAACATCAAAATGAATTTTATAAATTTTAAACTCTTCCTACAAAATATCTCGCCGAGTGATACCGATTGCAATGACTATGCAGGAACAGCTGAATAATCCCCTCATTAATACTTAATCACAGATTCATGTTGCCCTTTGCTAAATATGTTCTATTTAGCATTGAATTTATTTGGAACAAGCATATGTAAACTAATCTTAAATTAAGATAGTGCAAATATCTATACGCCGAGCGTATCAAAATTAAGCTCGCCTACAACCCACCCAGATGATAACCATGGTAAGTCAAAACTCCCCAAAAACACATTAAGAAATGAACCTTGGAAGGGTATTTGATCAAGCATAGTCATAAGACTTGATTATCCAACTACTTAATATATAAACACAGCCTTCGAATTCTACCATGTAATTAAAAGAATTCGAACATGTTAAAATAAATTATATTAAAAATTCTGAAAAGGGAAGCCAGTTTATGAAAACGAAAAAACCTAAAACGAAATTAGAACGAGAGGAGAGAGAGAGATAGAGAGAAATTGAACCTTGGAAATTAACCAGGCTCGTTCGATGCGCTTGGCGAAATCAGAAGAGGAGGAGTCCACCATAGAAACGTGGACGCGCAGGCGAGAATTTCTGTTGACCGTTACAGCATTCTTAGAAATTGGAAATTGAGTTGAAGATTTCGACAAACTCTTGTGAATCACTGCAGAAGCAGTGCTACAAGAGACGCACCTACTCATATTAGAAACTCTTCTCTGCAATAATGTGGAGGAAAAAGAATGGAGAAAGATGAATGAAAATATGTTGTTATTGTTATAAGAAGGAAAACACCATCCATAATAAAAACATGGAAAAACAACACGGGAAATGTCTTATACGCCCGCCATAAGAAAATTTTTCTGGAACTCTTCCTTAGCTTAAATTGAAGGGAGCCCAGAGGACCATATGTTATTGGATCTTCAGCCCAATTGTTCGATATTTTAACTCTCTACACCACTAAAAATCCCATCAACACTCCCTTGAAAGAATATCCTATGAAAGAATAAGTAATTTAAAATAGAGATGTAAAGTTTTAGTTTCATACATTTCAAATTCAATTGAAGACACTATTATATTTCATAATGATTTTAGGGTATATGATTCTCACAAAATTATATTGTTAGAAGAATTCAATAACTTAATTAAATCTATTGTCAAATATCTCTTAATGGATATTTTCCTTTTTATTACTGCCTTGTATGGTTTTATTGATTATATAGGATATTTTGACTGGTCTTTCATTGTTAAACGTGACATTTTCTCATTCACAACAAAATTGTAATATAACTTCCAAGTGTCCTTACCAAATATTTATTAAAATACTATAATATCTTTAATAAAGTGAAAACAGAGAATTGATTTTAATAAGTCTAAGGCTGTGTTCGTTTGGGTGGATGTCACTCTTCAAGTGAAAATGTGAGGAATGATTTACAATAAAAACTGTGTTCGTTTGGCATGATTTGGAACGATGGAATTAAGATGATTTGCGAGATATATGAGTTTTTAGATCTCTGCATAATACGATGATTTGCGATGATTTGAAGTAAAATCTCATGTATGCCCTTGCTGCTTTGTAAAAGTATGTCCTCCCTACTTTGTAAAATACCAATCGAAAAATAAAACGTACAAAAGGAATTCCTTGAGAAGTGAATGGATGTATTCGGTTACACCACACTCATTCAATTTTCTTTTTCATTCTTCACAGGAAATGCTGCTTTCACCCTCTCCACTCCACCAAGCTCTTTTTCCCATCATTACTTTCTTTCTTGATTTTTATTTAGTAGTTCTTATTATGCCTTTTTGTCTGTTTGTGTTTTTTATTCAATAAATTAAGAGTAGAAGAATAACCAAAATGAATCCTAAAGTTTGTTGCTTTAATATTTCTTTTTGGAATTATATTGATAGTTTTTTTCTGTTTTTTTAATCTTATGTTTATTTGATGCTAGGGTAAATAATATTACAAAAATATAACAATTAAAAATAAATTTATTTTAATAAAATTCAATTTTTGTACAATATTAAAATTAATTTTAATAATTAATATTAATTTTTTACTCTCTATAAACATTTTTACAATTAAATATAACATTAACAATTATTATTTTATATTAATTTAATAACTAGGAGTATTTTGGTAATCTTCAATTTTTATCAATTAAACAAATTCTTTTAATCAGTCACATCAATCACACTAATTCTCATAAACTTTACTTTCAAATCCACTCTCAATTAACCACAAATCCACTCAAAAAAATAACTAAACAATTACCCTCAAATTCATTCAAATCATCTTCCCTAAATCATCTCCCCCAAATACATCCACCCAAAAGAACACACTCTAAAAAATTTCATAACTTTAACACATTTACAATCTAATAATCACTATATTATACATTTTTATATTAAAATTATTCTATAAATTACATGATTATTAAAATAATTTAATATTCTTCCCGTAAACTTAAATATCCAACATTAAACTTTAAATGCACACTAGTATATTGAACAAGTTATTCAATAACAAGTTTCATTTGGTGTATCACAAATCATCTAACTTAAGTTAAACTATAATAGATATTCTCAATTTTCTTTCAAAAGATACATTTTATCATTTCAACAAACAAAACAATAATATATACCAAGTAATGTAAATGACAAAATAAACAAAAACATTTATAATGGAAGTCACAAGTATTAAATACTACCGGCATTATAACCATAATCTATATATATACCATACACTACATTTTTAACAAGGACTATCAACTACACTCATTCTTTTAACATGACCAATAAATATATTTAGTTAACATATCTACTATCATTAAATTTGTACCAATATGTTTGATTTACATTTTTTACTTATTACTTTTGATTGATAAATACATCAAATCCACGTGTTTTTTCTATTTTCGAGTATTTATCATTAAAAAACCATTATAATACTACAAATTCATCTTTCATTGTAAACATGGCAATCATAGATTGTTTTTCACTTCTCCATGATAATGCTCTTCCAACCAAAAGAAAGATGTATTCAAACGTGAATTTCTTTGATGGATCCGAATAGTTAATCACTTCAAGGTGATATGACCTTCTATATTTAAGCTCGTAATCATTTGTGTCTTGTAAATATTTAAGAACCTTCTTTATAACTCTTTGATATTTTATTCATGTTTGCTTTAATATTAACCCAACATTCCTATGACGAGGCTAATGTCTACTCGAGTACATGTTTGGACATACACCAAACTCCCAACAATTTATGCACAAGGAATGGATTTCATCTCACTTTGTTGTGAGTAATTTTTTAGACACTACATTTGATTAAACTTAACACCCTTTTGTATTGGAACAATCCCCACAAAACACTTTTTCATTTTGAATCTCTCTAATACCTCATTAATATATTATTTTTGACACAGTCACAACAATCCCTCTAACCTGTCACAAAATATTTATATTCCCATCATATAAGATGTTTCACTCATATCTTTCACACTTGTTCTCGCTTATCTTCATGTAGATACACATGTCAACAATATTTTCTACAAAATCATGTGACAAGATGATATCATTAAACTTGAGATATCATTGTCTAAAAGTTTTTTTTAATCCACATATTACTTATTTAATTTAAACATCGTGTTTTCCTTTAATGTGGAAACAAACCCTTCAAGTTGGCCCATATAATTTTTTTTCTCTAAATGGCTATTTAGAGAGTAGTCTTTACATTTATCTCATGAAGCTCTAAATCATAACAAGTCACCATAGCCAAAATAGTCCTTAAAGGGTTATTCTTACTGGCTCATCTAATTATAACCTTTTTTAAATTACAATTTTTTTTAATTCAAATATAAATAAACATCACACTAAAATGGTGTTAAACTTCAAAGACTATTCAAAATAAAAAATAAAAAGTATCATAAGCGTAATCCAAACACATATACAAAAGACGAACAAATAAGTTTTAAATATTGATAATTTTTGTATCACTTGTCAATTTATAATATTAGAGTCTTGAATAGATAAATCTATAATATTTTTTTTCTCTTGAAACATCTTATTCTTTGTCACCATCTACAATATAATAAAAAATGTTAATTATTAATATTGAAACACAAAATAATAAATAATTAAATTCAATTAGGTGAGTTGGTAAGTCAAACGGTGAGTCGGGTTCTAAGTGGGGTTGAAAATTAGTCCGCATAAAAAATTTACATTTTTTTTAAACCCATCGTAATTCAAATCCGTGGTGAGCCAGGTTGACTGACAGGTTATAACCTATTTTGACAACACTAGTTAATATATATGTACAATCCAACATTCTTTATTTTATGGATAATTGAAATCAATTAAACATTAATTGAAATAAAACAAAACATAAAAAATTGATATATTTTGTGATTACAAGTCCATCATATAATTAATCCCTCAATCAATACATAACTTATTTAAAACAATTAAAAATAATAATAATGATAGTATTCAATAAATATTTATGACATATATGCATGGCATCTCATCTCACATATTCTCTGAAGGCAACCACATATTATATTCAAATAAATTTATTTCGCGGAACACAAGATAAGTTTTTCATTTAAAAGCATCCAATTCATGTAACAGTGGGCACTATACCCAAGTCAATCATTAAAAGCCTAAGGCATGCCCTTGTGGGAAAATTTCTTCCCACCTTCAATGCATACAATTTTCAATTCAATAAACCATAAAAGTGAAATGCAATTAGGGTTTATAACACTTGAGGAAAAACATTATAAATATAAATTCAACCTGGTTTTGATAGGAATGTAAAGTTATACTCTCATATTTCAAATTCAACTCAAAAAACTACTTAATTTATAAAGATTTAGGATAAATGTTTTTTTACAAAATTACATTGTCAAAAGAGTTCATCATCTCATTTAGATGTATTGAAAAAGATATTTTTATAACTTTATTGATAGTATAGAATGTGTCTTGTACAATATGTTTTAAAAAAAATGATAAAATGATACATATTTATATTTATTTGATACATAAATAAAATAGTTGCAAAAAAATTAAATTTTTATATTTTTAAATAGGAAAAAAATATAAAAAGATATTATCAAATGAATATAAAAAATGTATATATGTGAATTTTTTTATAAAAAAATGTAAAAAAGTATTATATATTTTTTAAATTAAAGAGATGATTTTAATAACTCAATTAATTATCCCAAATGTAATATATTTATAATATAATATTGTCATAAAATAATTTTATAAATTAGATAAAATTAAATAGAAATTAAAATAATATATGAAAATAAATAATTACAATATAATGAGAATAATGAAGAGAAAAAGAGTAGTAGGTGATAGTGGGGTATGTGTAATAAGGACAAGTTGTTGAGAAGAATGAAAGGTGAAGCACTGATTTCTTCATAGTCTGAACCCTCTCATCTCAATCGCATCTCATCTTATCAACGCTGCCAAGCCCAATGGACCTCACACCGCACCAGCTCAGCCAGTACAACGGCACCGACCCCTCCAAGCCCATCTACGTCGCCGTGAAGGGCCGCGTCTACGATGTCACCACCGGAAAATCCTTCTACGGTCCCGGCGGTGCCTACGCCATGTTCGCCGGCAAGGACGCCAGCAGAGCCCTCGCCAAGATGAGCAAGAACGACGAAGACATCTCCCCCTCCCTCGACGGCCTCTCCGAAAAGGAGATCGGAGTTCTCAACGATTGGGAGAACAAGTTCCAAGCTAAGTACCCTGTCGTTGGTCGCGTTATCAATTGATTTACTCTTCTTCTTCCCTTTCATCACCATCTCTTTGTTTCTCTGTTTCTGTAGTTGAACCCAATCCATCACCCTCAACCTCACCCTAGTAGTAATAGTGATAGCAATAAAATTTCTCTGTCCATGCTCTGGATAAGGGATTCCGTTCCTCCTTCTGTTGCTTTCCTAATATGGGTTTGTCTTGTATTTCCTCCTGTACTACAAATCTTCCTAAAATCTTATATCTATCACCAGTTTCATGCATGTATAAAGGGGTGAAATAAATCAAATTTTTCATTATCTGCTGTTTTCTTTTTTTCAATTAAACTATACATTGCTTTATTAGATTTTTCCTAGTTACTGTGAAGGTTATTTGATTCATAGGGTTTAGTATTATATTGGCGAGATTTGAGTACTTTTCTTTGAACTTTTGATTGATTTGAAAAAGCTGATAACCCTTTCATGAGAATCCCCTAATTGTTTCAAAACAATCAGAAAGATATGATTTTGACAAAGAAAAAACAAAATCAATCCACGAAAGACTATTTTTTTCTCCCATTTTGGAATTCGGGTGGAGTGCATCCTCATCAATTTGATAACGATGGTGGTTGAAAATATACACTGAAGTCTGCGTAAGAGTGAGAGTTACAATGTGATTTGGGAGACGTAAGGGTCAGAAAAAGAGGAATTTGCTCTGCTATTTACACAGTTAGCATCTCTCTTGCAATATATATATATATATATATATATATATATATATATACACACACACACACACATATATAAACCCTTGATTTAATTCATAATGTTCATGTCACCAGGGTCAGCAATGAACATGAGTTGCCATAATGTGTAAGAATTTATGCAGTGTAAGCGTATATGACTGAAGTAATCGTGTTTTGGTAGATGATTTTCAAGAGGTCTGTATAAATAAGGCCAGTATAAAAGTATAAAATGAAGAAATGTGAAACATATTCAGGGTATCATAAGTATAAAATGCAGAATGCAACATATTTTCGGTATTACGGGGGACAACATAGATAACTAGATATAAAATTAATTTAAAATATATAAATAAATATAAGTTTTATTTTGTAAATCAAATTTATAATATCAAGTTAATTAAAAATTCATTTCTTAAAATAATTTACATATTTATTTTTATATAAAAGAGTAAAGATAAGATAAAATTGATAATTCGTTATGTCGCACAAGACAGAATATTTCATAATAGTTTTTTCTTCCATGGATTTAGAAAGGAAAAAACTTAGGGTTAAATATGTTTTTAGTCCCTAAACTATTGGCCGTTTCTGGTTTTCGTCCCTCTTCCAAAGTAAGGTACAATTTGATCCTCATTCTTTAGAAAAACGTTCGTTTTAGTCCTCAAAATTTTGTTTTTAGTCTTCGTTTTAGTCCTCAAAACGTTCGTTTTTTCGACTAAAACGAACGTTTTTTAAAGATTGAGGACTAAATTGTACCTTACTTTGGAAGAGGGACGAAAACCAGAAATGGTCAATAGTTTAGGGACTAAAAACATATTTAACCCAAAAACTTATATCAATATATGTGTAGAATGGATAGAGTATTTTCATGATAGTTAACAAAAAAAAAAATTTAAGTTAAACAAACTATATCCATTAACTTTTTAAATTTAATATTAAAATATATCCATGTTTAAAATGGTTATGTTAAAAAATATTTAAGGTATGCTTATTTCCAATACTCCCCACGTGAAAAGTTTGGTTGGTGAGTCTCTACTTCTCTTCTAAGATTTTTTTTCTATTACCTTTCCAACTACGACTGTCCATTCAATTTTTTTTATTTCTTTATACTAAACTACTGAAAAATACTTACATGCTGTGTTGACATCTTTCCATGCTAAAAGTATAATTACAAAAATAATTTATATAAAGGTAAAATAGTTAGCAAAATTTTATAATAAAAAATGAAATTATACAAAAATATATACATGAGTCTTTTATTTATACATTAATATTGAAATGCAAAAAGTGAATCTCAAAAAGGAAAAACTATCATGATTAATGATATAACGTAATAAAAGAAGATAAATAAAATAAGGTTTTTTCTTCCGGAAATTTCAAACATTTTATCTTACAATCTTAATTTATGTTTTTGAACTTAAATTTTTTTAATAAATTTTAAAATTTATTAAAAATAAATTCCAACAAATTTTAAAATTTATTGAAAAAAAATCTTTTAAACATATTTCAAAATTTAATAATAAAAAAAATCCTTCAACCAATTTCAAAATTTATTAAAACTTTTAAAAGTCTTTTAATAAATTTCAAAATTCTTTAAAAACAAATCTTTTAATAAATTTCAAAATTCTTTAAAAACAAATCTTTTAATAAATTTTAAAATTTATTAAAACTTGAAAAATCCTTTAACAAGACTTAACAAATTTCAAAATCTATTGATGTCTAAAATATTTTGAATTGTGAAATTTTAAAATTTAAAAATAAAATAAAAATACAGAATAAAATGATTGAGGGTGCAGAACCATAAAATAAATAGATAAACGTAACCACTTCTCTTTATTATTCTTTTTCTTGGGCTACATTCTTCATACATGCATTATTATTATCCTTTATTCCATTGGAATATTGTCACATCAAATTGTTACGCACAACATTTTGATTTATAGCATTTTTTTTTTCTGACGACAGGTTAGTAAGAAATCACTCTTTGACAAGAGAAGAAAGAGAGAAAGAGCTATATAAATAAAAAATAACTCTGAAAATTATTATATCTATTTTGAAAAATTTATTCTAAAAATTTTATTTTGAAAAGTTCATCTCGAAAAATATCATATTAGTTTTGAAAAACTTGTTCCAAGGTGTATTATATATATTATTCAAAGCTTGTTTGATAAAAAAACGTATTGTTTCAGGAAATTTGTTTTGAAAATTATATTTCAAAAAACCTTTTTTCAAAAATATGTTCTGTTTGGAAGAAAATGTTTCGAAAACTCTATTCCAAAAATTCTATTATGAAAATTCTGTTTCAAAAATCATACTTTGTAAAGCTTAATCTGAAAATTTTTCAGAATACATAAAACAAAAGTTTACAAAAGTAAGAAGAGTCATCATTTTAAAATTATCGGGGTGGGGTTAAGAGTTATGGGGGTACAGGAAGAAAAAGCCTTTTGATGAATTCAGTTCGATGTTAATGCACAAATCCAAGCCCATGTCTATAAATGCAGCTATAGCCAAACAACCGGTGAATGCTGAGCGGGGTTTCATCCCTTATTCTGGATTAGGGTTAAGATTTCAATATTGCACAAACTTGGACTCACTCCCTCTCAGTTGACTCACATCATCGCCACTGTAAAAGCCCCAAACTTTTCCCACCCCTTTTATGCTCAAACTCCAAAGTCGTGATTTTGTTGCTCCCAAATGCATGCTATGTATGAGGGCACTGTTGTTCCTGAAAAATACACACAACTTTGGTGTTTGGTAAGCAACAAATAATGAGTGGCCAAAGCCAAAGTTGTTTAAGCAATGGAACCGAACGATCAAGGATGCATTGGACTCCATTGATGGAACGCTACTTCATTGATCTCATGTTGGAGCATTTGCAGAGAGGGAACAGGGTTGGTCACACTTTCAACAAACAAGCTTGGACAGACATGCTCAACTCGTTCAATGCTAACTTTGGTTCACAGTTCGACAAAGATGTCCTGAAAACTCGGTATACCAATTTGTGGAAGCAGTTCAATGATGTCAAGAGTCTTCTTTCTCAATTCGGTTTTTCGTGGGATGCTGCCCGGCAAATGGTTGTGGCTGATGATGATTCTGTTTGGGATGTTTATTTGAAATCTCACTCTGATACTAGATGCTACAGGACAAAACCAGTGTTGAACTTTGATGATTTGTGTGTCATATATGGCAACGTTGTTGCTGACGGAAGATATAGTTTATCTAGCCATGATGTACGCCTTGATGATAAATTGCTAGGACTGCATTTGGGTGAGTATTGCTTCCACCCTATGCATATAATAGAGATTAAGTTAAAATCAACTTAATGTCGACAAATAAAAAATCATGTTAAGTATGATGTTTAAAGTGTTTATTGTAAAAATAAACAAACTTGAACAAACAGAAGAATATTTTATTGGTTGACACCACAAAAACCCCGTAAGCTCTCACTATTTGTACTATTTTCTTTTTGTTTACAGCATTTTTTCCGGTGATAAATGCAACATGTGCAAGGGAATCGGTTAATTGTTCTGTAGAAATGGGAGCTGATGTTAATTATGTTTTCTGCGACATGTAGTTGATGGAACAGGAACCGTTGCTGTACCAAGTTCTGAGCGTACCAGGACGGATTGGACTGCTTCTATGGACCAGTTGTTTATAGAGCTTATGGTTGATCAGTTGAGTAGGGGCAATCGAGTGGACAATGGATTCAATAAAAAAGCTTGGACAGATATGCTAGCCATTTTCAATTCTAAGTTTGGATGTCAGCATGGTAGAAGGGTTTTAAAGAATCGGTTCAAGAAACTGTTGAAATACTACCGAGATATAACAAATCTTGTAAAACAAGGCTTTTCGTGGAATGAACAACAACAAATGCTTTTGGCTGATGATGATATCTGGGATTCTTATGTCAAGGTATGTGGTCAAGAAGAGTGAGTATATGATATACGTGATTCTTGGCACTGATTGACTTAAAACTCTTGTAGGCACATCCGCATGCACGAATATATAGATCGAAAACTTTGCCAAACTATCGTGATTTAGAATTAATATTCAGAAACGTGTCTGAAAATGAGATCAGTAATTTGCAACCGGAGAAAAATCACGAAGATGTCATATCAGAAGAAACAAAGGACGGTGTGTATCAATGAAAAGCTTTCATCACCCTGTTCAATTTATTACGTTGTTTTCCTGCATTTTCTAAAAAAATATCAACAATTTGCTCCATATCAGTCATGCAAAAACTAAGAATCGTCCTATATATTATACTTGTACGGAGGTGCGTGCAACTGAACATAAAAATATTGAAGAAATGAATTTGTTTGGAACTTGTGGGTTTTTAAATTTCAACTCCGAAAGGGAATTTCAGACCCCCTTGTTGCAATTGTAGCATTGTCAATTTGTCACTTCAGATGTATTAGCTACATGGAAATACCAAAGACATGTTTG